TCGGGCAGAAGTTGTTGGGGGCACGCAGGGGAAAGTTGCCTTCCGTGCTCTTGATCTCACACGCGCACCGCCTCCGCCTCCAGTGCTCCGCGATGGCTGGAGTTCCCTAGCTGCACTCAATGAGTCACCCCAAATGAAGAGGGGGACTAGAAGAGTTGCCATCCGTGCCTCCGCTGTGCTCTTTGGCCGCGTGGTTTTTCCTTAGCTGAATTTGTCATGCAAAGTTCGCAGTTCAGAGTTTAGGATAGTTTAGGTGGGGTCCTCCCCCACCTAATCACAGCCTACAATAGGGGTCATATTAGGGGCTCTCTACAGTCATATTGTACAAATATTTCTTACATAGCCGAGCCCTTATTGAGTGGGGCAGCAGCAGCAGCAGCTTGGAATAGCAGCTTTGCAAAGCTTGCCCCCCAATATTGACAGTCTCAAGCAGACTTGCGCATGCTTCAGGATTGGAAAAAGGCCGCGTTGGCGTACACTTTGTGAGTGGTGGTGGCTGTACTCCGGAGACGGCATCCTTGCAAGAATTCTGCAGCTCTCCAAAACGCTGCTCTTGAAGGAGCTTGCATGGCTTGCCTTTTTTCCAATGTTCAAATTTCCACTGTTGACACGTTCTCATTGAAAGGCTGGCCCTTGAAAGATGCCAAAACCCGATAGCTTATACGTCGCTCCATTGTGTACCATTGTTGCTCTTTGCTCAGGCACTTGGGCCTAGCAGATCGCTTGCTCCATGGCCCATGTCCAACTTCCAACTGTAATTCGGCTGCACCATTGCTGTCTTCCATTGTAATCTGGCGGTGCCATTGCTGTCGCAATTGTTCAGGCACTTGGGCCTGGTTCTTAGGTTAGACCTTGCAAACGAGGCTCGCATTTCCCTCGCTCACCTGGAACACGACAGATCAGATTTTTTCTCTTTTTGTAGTGGCTGAAAGCGCACCAGGTCGGTGGTTGAGTTTCTTCCCCCGGGCGTTTCTGCCTAGGCACACGTCAAACAAGCTTGCACGCAAACCTAGATATTATATCTGCGATTACTTCGCGGAAGTCGCTTGTGTTGAAACCAACAAAAACTAAGCGAACCTCACAAAATGGCGGAGTCATCCTCACATCCGAAGGTGTTGCAATCTTTTTTTAACCGTGCTGCAATCAGAGATTGAGAGAAGAGATCTTAGTGAAGTACGAGAAAAACAAGTAACTTAAAGGACCGGAGAACCCTACATGTGTAGTTTACCCCGAATGAAATTGATGTACTGTTAGAATGCCGTCGCCCGGCGATATAAGAAGACAGGTATAAAAGAATGCAAACTCTTGAGACCGCATTCCGTGGCGAAACGACGAGCACATTGCGCGGGCGAACGCGTCGCGGAGCGCACGCAAAGCTGTGTAGACTAGACACATCTGATGCTGCGTGCTTCCGTGCGCGACTCATGCAATTATGCACAGGCGCGTGGCGGTCGAAGCGCCGTCAAGACCGCCGCTCATCTTGCAAAGGCCAAGCAAAATGGTACAGCTGTGCAGAGCAGCTGATCCGCTCTTTCATTTACTTAAACAGTGCCTTGACAAGTCTCCATGGCATGCTTGAGTTAATAGTTGAGATTGGAGTGTAGGGTTCAGTGTAAGGATGTAGGGCGTCGCGCAGAAGGTCAACATCAACTACTTGCTAGGCTCCCATCATATAACCCTAAGAGTCCAAGTACCCGACAGTATAAAATTATGGCCGAAGGCAAGTTTTAAGCTTGGTTCCGATTATCCTTGGGGTATATTACTGGGACGCTTGGGTAGTAAGTATATGAAATACGCAAGCTGGAGTGGGAGCATGAATCCCTATAACCCTGCCCATATAATCTCTATTTACACTTCTTTGTTGTACCTAAGCCCTAAACCCTAAACGAAGGCCACTAAGGCTTTGAGAGCAGGCGTTGACCAAACGCTTAGTGGAATCAGGGCGTCTGCTTGGAGTGCCAGGGGGTGTTAGCACTGCAACAAAATAAATCGAAGTAGACGTACCAAGTGGGGTCTATGGACGGTGACAAAGCTCTTACCCATAACCCTAGAGCTGCAAACGCCGTAGTTGGGATTGAACTCCTGTCCTCATGACTCGTCGCAGCTCATGTTTTTTTTGGGGGGGGGGGGAACAAATTTGTGGAGGAATTGCAGACACGTTGGAGTGATTTGCGTGGTTACTGGGATTACATTGCGACGAACATGAAATGAAGGTAAGAGGAGGAACGTACTGGGGGCTAGTATGGAATCAGGCAGTCTAATCCCTATAAAACCCCTATATAACGTATTTCCATATTCCCTACCGGAAGAGTACACTGGGCTTCTGAGGAGACCAGCTTGCGAAAGCAAAGAAGATACAAAGAATGCGCAGTGCTCTTATTCTCTAGAAGATCCTGAAAATATTGTCGCAGTATAACAAATATAGCTATGAGTATGAATGCGGATACTTATTCTTACAGAATTTAGATATACATACTATTATAAATACCGTGCTCTACAGGGCTTCCGAACGTCGCAACATGACTTGGGATCCACGCTAAGACGTGATTTCGGCACCAGAGATTAAGATTTGAGATGTAGAGCAAGCTGCTAAATAAAGCCAAGGGTCGAGGTGATCAAGGTTTACTGGCCTAACCATAAACCAAAGTACACCCGGGCAAATCACCAAGTCGTTCTTACCCTAGCTTACTGCCAGGCAGCTCGTACATCTCTTTATACGAAAGCACCGTCAAACACTGGCAATGAACTGCCTTCTAACTGCCCTCTAAGCAAAGCATCCTTAATTTTTCGTTTGAAGGGAGGATTGGGTGATTCTGGGTGCCTTTTACAGGTGGATGAGCCTGGGGATTTACAGGAATTATGCAGGAGTCCTTCTTAAGCCGATTTAGGCATATCTTGTGAAACCCATGCAGGGACTATTTGTTTTGAAAGGCTCTCATAGCGTGGACGATGCCAGGGAGACTGTCAGGTTCACAAACAACATCCATGCCCGCAATCCTCGAAGTAGCACTACTGCACTACTTACTAACCCCCTGAACCCTCTCCTCCACCCCATGACGAGCAGCTGGAGGAGGCTCTTTCATCCGCCTGCGCCGTCCATCCCTCATTGGATTCAAGCTCTACACATCCCTCATTGGATTCAAGCTCTACACCTCTTGGGTCAAAAAACAGGGTTTGGGGTTCCCTAAAACCTAGACCCTGAACCGCGTACAGCAACTCCGAACCTCCAAGCCCCAATCTCCCATGTGAGTGCCCCAGCCCTAAGTCCTAACACCACCCCAAACCCAAATCCCCCAAACCCCTGACCCCTTGGGCAAGACTCGGTTTCCTGAAGTCCCCAAACCCAATCCATGACCCCTTATCCGTAAAGCCTAGAGCATGTACCATGCACCATATTGCATTCCCATGTAGCCCTGTACCCTAACATGAACAACCTTCAAAAGCCTGCATATCCTCATCAATTGCACAAAACATGTTCTCTGATCCCCAGACCTTCCAACCAAAACCCCAAAATCCCTTCTCTGAACCTAAGCGAAATTCCAAGGCCTAAGTTCTACACATGAGACCCCTACATAACCCTAAACCTCCTGATCGCGCCTCCGCCACGGGTGGGCCCGCGTCTGCGTCTGCATCTGCGTCAGCGCCGCCATCCGCAAAAGGAAGGTCCGGAGCCGCCAAGAAGACCTTTGGGGTTTAGGATTTAGGGTTTAGGATTTAGGGTTTAGGGGTTTAGGGTTTTTTGCATCTGCCAGAAAAGAATTTGGGTTATAGGGGGGTAATGGAAAATAAAATGGACACTACTACAGTATAATAGGATGTATATAGGGAGTATAGGGGTTATATTGGGATAGCGGGCTTGGGGCAAACCCTCAGGTGCAAGGGAGCTTCGATTTAGACGCTTTACTTTGTCGGTGCCAAAAAATGGCCTCCTGAATGGCATGAGAGATGCATTGTAAGTATGGCTAAATAAATAAATAAATACATATATATATATATATATGTATGTGTGTATATATCACTCTTTCCTGCTACTCCACTCTGTCTATCTTGCACATGACCTATAGTCTATAGTCTAAACTCCTAGTTTCCCTCAATGACTCCCATTCTACTCCTCTATATAACCCCCTGCATAACCCCCCTTAAGGAGCTCAGACTGTAGCTCTGAGTTCGGTTGCTGCGAAATGAAGCTCTGCGGGTGAAGAATCAGGCTGGGTTGATTCCAGCACCCTTCTGAAGCCCAAAGCTTCTCACTCAGTGTGTCCCTGCGATTACTAGCCCTTAATGCTTGCCACCCTTTTGGGTGTAGGGCTTAGGGTGCATGCAGGAAAATTCAACTTCTTCCAATGTTCGGGGTGCAGATTGTTTGACCAATTTGGGGCTAGGCAGGCGCTGTCTGAGTCTATGAGTCCATGAGAACCTGGAACTTGCGGTGCCAGGTGATGCTCGACAATAACCGAAACCAAAACAGAAACTTCTGAAACCCTAACCCTATAACCTAGCCCACAAAACCCTAAACCCTCTACACCAAGCGAAATTGTATCCCCTGCTGCACCCCTCCCATCCCCACAGAGCACCCCATCCCACGCACACTACACCCCAACCACCCATCGGGCTTCGTTTGCCCCATGCTGAGGAAGTAGAATCTCCAGAGGTTTGCTTACAAAACTATCAGGGTAATTTGAAATAGTTTTAATTTCAAATTTGAAGCAACTTTGGTACCATTCGCTATACAAACCACTATTTAGGGTGAGGTCGCTTTTTGACCCAACTCATGTAAAACTTGTTCAGACACCTGGGACCCCGTAAAAAAAAAAAAAAAAAAACACGACCCGGTTTTAATCCAAGTTTCTATCTGATTTTCGTGTTGATTTTCCACCATTATGGGACTCTAATGCCCAAAAACCTTAAAACCTACCATCTCCACAACCCTAGGAGGGCTTCTCAAAACCGTGGAATTGACTTGAGAAAGCTTTAGCTGACTTAAGCTCAGGCCAAGCAACTGTCGAAACCAAATATGGACACACCATCCTTCTAGGGTTTATAGAGCTCTTGGCTCAAGAAATTAGGGTTTAGGGTTTAGAGTTTAAGATTTAGGGCAGGCTAGAGTTTGCACTTCAAGTTCTGGAGTTAGGGGGCTGGAGCAGGCTGCAGTCGAGACGTTCGGTCGTACTCACCCAAATTTGGGTGCTTGGAAAGGAAGACTCACTGATGTCAGCTAGGTAGGGGCTTATTGATATGCACAACTTTTTAAGTATTGCTGGGGGGTATTCACTCATAGAAGCACTATCCTGCTCTTCGAAAAGGGACCTAAATCGGCTGAAACTTGCTGAGAATGTTTGTGCGCTGTGCGTGTTCCATGTAGACATGAGACTCTGTCAGCAACATAGGCCCCGAATGTGACGGTGTAGAATTCAGGCTTTGGGATTTGACGATGCTGCTTGAGAGCGCAGGGTCTAGAGAATCAAATGGGCTTGAATAAAAAAAACCGTGCCTTTTTGCTTGACCCAAAAAGTTCTTGTCGCTGTATTTTCTTCTTCTCGTTTTTCCAAGTATTAGGCCTCATCGTTTTTGTCATCGTTTTTTCTCTCTTATCGTGTTCCCAACTAAAAGCCTACGTCTTGCATTTCGCGGCGCACCAGGACATAATCCTCTGGCGCGGGGTTAACATACAACCCACATGGACTTCAGGGTTTAGGGTTTATAAGGATAATCGAAACGAAAATGGAAAGTACCATGAACTCGTGTTCTTATTAGCCTGATGATGGAGAATCCAATGGAGAGGCAGATAGACAATGAAATGGAACTACTGCTCGGGGTGCGGGGGTTGACTTCGAACTGGCAATGAAACGGAATCTACTAACTTTGAACCCTAAACCCTCAACCGCAGCTTAGTTCAGGGTTTAGGGATGAACTTGAATCAATCGGACAAATTCACGGAAACTGAGCCAGGGTTAATAGGGACATGCCGGGATGTCTGATGCAGCGTCACTAAGGCGTATAGGGTTTAAGGTTTAGAATACAGGGTTTAGGGTCTTGGTCCTAGTAACTATAACTGTAGCCCAGCTTCCGGGAAAGCATACGATTATTGGGTACTTTGACCCTTTGAGGATTGTGGGTTACGATGTAGAAAATAGGCCCTTCAGGCAGGTGTCCTGGGGGTTCCAGCACTTTAGGAGCATGTAAGGAAGATCTCCAATTTGAACCTATATTCAAGACTGCGCTTGTGAGACCGTGGTTGTTGATCCCCGAACACGGGGTCCTGTACCCCAACTACCCTATAGGCCCTAAAACGAGGACCCTACTTTTACCCAAGCTATTAAGCCCTAGGCCCTGAACCGCGAACCCTAAATCATGTACGTTAAACCGGAAGCGAAACTCCACCTGTAATTAACCCCAACTACTTTCAGCTTTACGGGTTATAGAACCCCTGAACTTCAAGCCCCAAACCGTCCTCCTGCATTTCTACTGGACAGAAAACTTCATCACCGACTCGAGGCGTGCCTGTCGCCTGCAAAGGAAGCTGCAAGCTAAGCCTAGTGTAAGGGTTCCATTAAAGAGGTTATGAGGCTACATAGGGGTCATATAAGGAACACGCAGCCTTGTCTAAGACTTCAGGTTTTGTGTTCTGAATGGTTAGAATGGTGGAGAGGCAAATGGGAATGACAATTAGACGAACATGAAATGGAAGCTGGGCTTTTGTTGATGAGGTTCATAATGAGTATGACGCAGGATTCTCAAGAACTAGATTACATTTTGGGGTATATCAAACTAGAGCTGTCTAATAGATATCCGGGAAGAATATTGGCATTTATTCAGACTGCTCAAGGAGGACCTGCAAGTTAGCAGAGGTACCGATGAAGTGAGCATCGTCACCAACCGCGTGACAAAACAAAGGACCTGGACAGACAGATTTTGCACACGCAGCCCACGCGACGCATCCACGCAAAGTCGTACCAAGCGCGAAACTGTAGGAACCATCGCGAGCATCCTTGCAATCATGCAGCATGCAATAGCCAATGCGAGCTTAAAGCACCGGACAGAAAGTTATGAAGGGGCGGAGCTGTCTTCAAGAAAGACTTGCTGCAGCTAAAGGAGCGCCCCTGTTGCATCACCCTGGTGCATGGGCCCAAACAACTAGAATGCGGTTAAGTCTCGAAAAGGCCCAAAGAAGTAGAAGAGGCACAGGGTTGTGTAAGGGCTGTATTCCTAGCCAGCAGGCTTCTAGATTGTGTCCTTCCCCGTACAGTAACTATCCGTAAGAATGCCTTACTAAGGGGCCCATTACATTGTGGTAGCTGTTACTGTAAGGGGGAATGACCTAACTTCTAAACCGTACACCCTCAACCCTATTAACCATAGCCCTAAACGTAGAAGCTTCTGGCTCTGTGACCTGGAGGCCACAAGGGTCCCATACACCCTTGTTTGCCCGGTTCAAAGTTCAATATTCTGCGAATGATGCTGGTTGCGCTAAAAAGTTGGGGGATCATTGTCATTTTTCGGTCGCTGTCTCTGTGGCAGGACCAGTATTTGAGGTAATTCAGTGGGCAGCTTGGGGATAAGCCCCTAATGGGTGATATGCTTCAGGAAAACCTCTTGACACTAGGTACAATGGTATGCTCCCAGAGAGATCCCGACACAACCCCAAGGTCATGGGCTCCCCTGCAACCCCCCTCTATACTTCTCCCCTAAGCTCCCCCTGACTTGAGGTTACTTAAGGATAATTTCGCCTCATCAACGTGAATTTAGGGGGACCTAGGGGGTAGTAAAGGGGACCCTAAACCCTAAACCGGGGGTAGTAGGGGCGCCCATGACAAGATGCTCCCACACAACGCTGCCGACCTTTCTCTTGAGGGCCAGGGTTTCGTACATGAACTCTTTGCCTACGCTAGCGCCAAGGGTCCCAGTAGACAATAATTGGGTACTGCCTTGGGTTTAGGTTCGGGTTTAAGACCTATAGGGCTGTAGGTGAAAGGAATTATAGTCTAGGTCTCAGGGGAAGTATATGATTATTGAGGACTTGGACTCTTAGGGCAGATCAGTTACAAAAGCCGCTCTTGTGCTGCTGCCTACTATAGGGACCTAGATGAATACGAATAATAACTTGAAGTCTAGTTGAGGTACGTCATACTATACCTATACATATTTATATATTCACATATATGAATATGTACCAAGGATATTCTTGAGGAACCCAGGACGATAGTATTGGTCATCATTTCGGCTTCTACGGTTATGTCGGGCCTGCTTCATTGAAGACGCCTCCATATAACGGGTTTTGGGCACCCTTAATCAAGATGAGGGGTAATGTTGGAAAGGTTTTGATTTGGGGTCCCAGGAGAAACCCGAGCATACCCTTTTCATCAAACTCCACGGACCTCAGATGCGTGGGAGGAGGCTCATGCGCCCTGCTTGAGGGACCCCAATTTCCATTTTCTGCAGTCCCTAAACCCTAATCCCAAAGTATATACATATACGTACATACGTACGTACGTACGTACATACATACATACAGACATACATACATACATTCATACAGACATACATACATACATACATACATACGTACATACATACATACATACAAAGGTATATCTATATATATATATAGATATATATCTACCTAGCTCTCTGTATGTATATATATATATATAGCGGAACCCCCCCTCAAGACTAAAGAGGGTCCAAGATTAGTTGAACACCTCGTGCTCTCTACCATGTGACTTATAGTCTACACTCCTTAAAGGGGGGTTATATAGGGGACTACTATAGGGGTTATTCAGGGGGATACTAGGAGTTTAGACGACAACCCCTATAATCCCCTATGTAATTCCCAGTTTCCACTTCATTTTCCATTTTCTTTTCCATTTGATTCTTTTTAAAGGGGATACTAGGAATTTAGACTATAGCTCATGTATCCCAATGGCTCATGTTGGGTCGATTGCTTACGGGATGCTCCATTCAGTTGCTGGCCCTTACGGTTTAGGTTTTAGGGGTGAGGGCGCGACTGTCTTTCTAAGTGTCCAAGGACCCCAATAATGGAGTATTGGGGCCCAAGTACTGTAATCTGGATGGTATTTGGGACATAAAGCCCTAACATTTGGGTCCTTGGACCCTTAGGGTCTACTATGAGTGAGCAAAGGAACGAACGGAATGCGAGACATAGTTAGCATGAAGCATGTTGTGATTTCCGAACTCCAGACTTTTTTTGTGATCCTAACTTGGATGCGCTCACAAGGAGTGTGTCGCATCTAGGAAATAGAAATCATGCTTAAGCTTGTTCGGCTTGTAGGTGTTCCCCCTTTTTTGGGTCAGGGGGGGGGGGTAATAGGGGTTATATCAAGGGGGCTTTGCAGGGATAAGGGTTTAGGGTGAGCCAAGAGACTCTTCAAGTTTTCTTGCACTGGACAAGGGCTTCCTGGAAGAACATGCCGTTTTGTGGCTTGCATCGGGGCTGCCTGGAAAGATTGAAGGGGGGTATTGAGAGCCACCCCGATCTCACACCAACACCTGAAACAGGATTTGATGACCAGGTCCTAAGAACAGTATCAAACTTGTTGAGGGTGACTGCATTAGAGGGTTCAGGCAACCACCCTTCAGCATGTTGCTGTCCTGTCTGCTGGTTCGTCATTGTTGGTGCAGATTGGTTAGCAGCACACGCTGCCCCTGGTTTCAGTCGTCTCCATGCGCCGGTGGTCCTGGCACGTAAGCTTCTTCCTGTATAAGCCTACAAAACACGGTCTACCCTCAAATGGGGTCCACGAGGGTCCTGCTTGTGGGTACCTAGTTCTTGTGTACATCGACCCTGAACCCTGAAGCCTAAACTCACAATCCCATATATCCCTTTATCTACACTATATATGCCCTTGAAGGGCCCAACTATTAGGATCCGTAGGGTAGTTTGAAAAAACTCCGTCTGCGACCAGCATCTGAGGTCCCGGCTCTGTTGGGCCATCTGAGCAAAATAGAGGATGACCTTAGGAGTTGAAGCCCTACTTGGAGGGAAGCCATTCGCAAGAACCCATACCAGGTACATGGCTGTAAGCTACTTAGCCTTGGTTCAGGAGCACAGGTTTTCAGGGAGTAGATGTTTGGGTTTATATCCCTGCAGAAGACGCCGTGGGCTTTGGGGTCTTTTCATTTTGGCCCAGTATGGCCAGTAAAAGATACAAAGCAGAAGCAGCTAACAACGAACCTCCGAACCCAAAAGCTCGAACTCTACACAGGCCACCCATACTATCCCTATACCCAGAGGGTCCAGGTACCCAACACATAGGTACTTGGGTTTTGGGTAATAGTAATTGTAGGACAGGTTTTCGGCAAGTATATGAGTATTAGGTACTTGGACACTTAGGGATAGGTGGATCCAAAAGCCAAGCTGTGTGAGCAAGCAAGGGACTGCCATGAGGACAAAGTTCTTGCCGTCCCACCGACTGGAGCAGGAGAATCGGACATTGCTTACATTATATTGGGGACTATTAGTGGGATAGAAGAAAATAAATTGGAAACTACCATATTATGGGGGTTATGTAGTGTAAAGAGCGGATTCAGCATAAATGCTTAGAGGAGTGTGAGGCACACTGAAGGATAGATGGACGACGGACAGGAAGAATTGGATCACCTACTCATGCATGTCAACGAATGTAAGCAGCCCTTGGGCTGAGCATTTGTGGCCCGAGGGTTAGCGTTCTGCTGTTCAGGAGTCAATGCGCTCATGAGGATGGCTCCAGGATGTCAAGTTGGGAAATGCTGGAGTAGACTATATTCTACGGTACCTTGACCAATTAGGAGAAGAAATATGGCACCCTGAATTGCAGCTGGAAGTGTGGCCGAACCCCAAATTCCACCCCGAAAGTCTAAACCCAGACCTTACATCCATAATCCAAATCCCAACCCCCAAAGCCCTGTGGTTCAAAAAAAGCATGCCCTAGAGATCTTCCAAGCAAATCTCCTTATGTTGGTGCAGTGCAGTGGGATGGGTATTGCGCCAACCCCCTACAATCGGACTATAGGGTTAAGGGCTATAGTGACATGAACGGGCTACAGGACTTAGGGTATAGGGTTCAAGTGGTATAGTCGGAATGTACAGTGACCCTGATATGTTGACGGTCCACTGGTGCCACTGGATGGAAGATATGGCAGAGCCCCCACCCACGAGAAGCCTGACCAGAACATGATGCTGTGAGTAATAATGGAACCAAAAAGCGCAGCAAGGAGTACACAATTATTGCCAACTATACAAAAGAATACTCGATAATCATAATAATGGCATAGGCGTAGAACCCGAGCCCCTAGCTGAACTCTGCACCTGACACTGTCGCTGAAACTCAAAACCTTGTAACAGCCCCTTCGCCCTAGAATTTCTGAAGCATAATTAGATGCAAGACTCAACTCTATGTACTTCTAATTATCCCAACCTTCCGCCACAATCCCCCCCCCTTGTGAACACCAAACTCCAAACCCAAAACGTGATTCCCAAACCACGAATCCCCGAAGTACAGTCCCAACCCCACACTTTGACTTTCAAACCCAAAGCTCCGAAACTCTAGACCCTAGCCTTAAACCTCTAAATCCCAAACCCGGAAAACCTGAACCCTTTCCCTCAAACCTAAAAGCCAGCTAAACCCTGAACCATCCCAAACCCGTAGGCCCTAAACCTCCTACGCCCCAAACTTTCCAAAGCCCTGAATAACCCTAAACCCTACAACACATACTCCCTTCAAAGGGGAAAACCATGCCCTGAACCCTAAACCGTTGACACCCTAGGCCCTTAAAACCCATTGCAAACATATATCACGTGTGTATACGTATATAGATAGGTATACACATCCCTACAGAATACCTACATAAGACCCAAAACCCTAATCCTTGAACCCCAATCCCCAATCCCTAAAGCGCACCTACAGTCGAAGCTCCAAATAATCATATACTTACCCCAAAACCTGTACCATAATTACTATTACCCTAAACCCAAGTACCAAATTATTGGGTACATGGACCCTCTGGGATCCCTGAGGCGCGCCTACAGTCGAAGCACCAAAGCTTCTGAAAATCGAAGCCGGGCAAGTCGAAGCCCTGGGCCTGCCTCGGCGTGGCTTATACCTTTGGTTATAGGGGGGGAATGGAAAAGAAAATGGAAACTACTATAGGGTTTAAGGTTTGAGGTTTAAGGTTTAGGGTTTAGGGTTGAGGTTTTAGGATGGGAATGAAGGAATGGAAACTACTATAGTGGGGTATATAGGGGCTACTATAAGGATCCATTCCTTCATTCCGAGCTAACCAAAGACCAGTTGATTCTAAGGGGCCTAGGGTTCAGGGGTCAGGGTTTTAGGAGTGAGGGATCAGGAGTTAAGGATGAGGGATTAGGGGTTAGGGATGAGGGTTTAGGGTTCAGGGATCAGGGTTTAGGGATCAGGGTTCAGGGTGTGGGGATTGGGGTTCAGGAATTAGGGTTGAAACGACTCATGTAGGCAGTATGTAGGGGCATGCACATATACATATACATATACATATACAAATATACCCATGCACATACGATTCAAGAATCTTAGCATTGAAAGGATTTAGCCTTAGGGTTGAAAAGGCTTGGGACACTACTGGGCTTAAGGCTGGTTAAGGGTTTAAGCGTCAGGCTTGTCGCGGTAGGGTTTAGGATTTTGGGTTTTGGGGACTACATGGCCTATATGAGCTCTGATGATATTCCCCATATACTTCTGGACATAGGGAGTTCAGGCTTTAAGGATATTTCCCCCCCAACCCTCAACCAACGAAAACACATGGACGATGCAAAGGAAACTAGGGATTTATGCGGGGTTATACGTTACGTGAACAAATATTTCCCATGTACTTACTGGATCTGGGTCTCCATTAGAGAATATATTGGGCGACTATGCCGGACTGCCAAAGTGAGCCCTATGTTCAGGGTAAGGGGCTGTTGCCAAGAGGTTGTATAATGTTCTATAGTTTGGGGCTTGAAGGGCTTTGGGTTTAAAGGGCCTTTAAGGTTGTATGGCAAGATATAACGGTGTCGGTGTGCGTGTGTCTATTTCGTATGTATATATATCTATAAAATACACAGGGTTTCGGGTTTAGGGCGTAAAGGAGTTTCATAAGATTATCTAGGCATAACTTGTGGATGAAACAGTACTGAGCTAGGAATTGCCCTGTAACATCCTGTAACCCCAATCACCTATACACAACCTACAACTCAGTAGCAACTACGCTGGAAGTAGCAGTCAAAGCCCACAAAACTGGAGGTAATTGCGGGTACCGGATGAGTTTGGGAGTAATGCAAACAAGCCGCCTGCTGTACCAATCACGCCGTAAAATGCCAAAAAAACCCGCCGACAGAATTTCGAAGCACCGCTGTCTGGAAACAGTGAGCCTGAAAGGTTTGGTGGGCTGGCGGCTGCTGTTCTTTGTACTTGGCTTTGACACTAACCTTAAAGGTCCAAGGATCCAAATAATGGGGTATTGGGGCCCAAATAATATAATCTGAATGGTATTTGGGACATAAGGCCCCAACATTTGGGTCCTTGGACCCTTAGGGTAACCCATACATGTTACTACATGAGGAATGTGAAAAGGCAGCGGAGATTTCTTTGCCGGCTTGGTCTCTGCACGCACATGAGAAGAAGCAAGACAACTTCTTCCTCCCCCCCACATATGCCAAAACTCTGTGTTTTCCACAACAGAAAAGCCAGAAGTCTTCTAATTGTATCACAGCTCTCCGAGGTCTGGCTCATCGTATCGCAGCTCTTGAAAGTTTCGTCTCTGTCTGCAACACCATCTCACTCAGCAAGAGACCTACATTACCAAATTACCAGACTGTAAAGGGCTATTCCTAAACTCTACCTAAACATTCACGTTGTTAAATGAACTCCAAAATGCATGTAATGCCGCAAGCAGTCCTGGTGATGGCACTCTCGCCAGCCGGCGGGGGATGTGCTTGCCTGCTTTTGCTCTCTAGCTAGAGTTTTAGGCCTTGGGGTCTAGGTTGCAGTGCTGGCTCAGCGTTGTTGGACGGTATACGGGGTCCCGGCACAGCTGCTTGGGGAAAACGGTAAAAGTGTAAAAACGAAAAATGCAAGACACGCAGCGTGCACAAACGAAAACGGTAAAATGGTAAAAACTACGCAGTTTAGCAAGAGGAGGGTTAAACGGTAAAAGTGTAAAAGTCGTTTGCAGCAGCGAAGGCGGTAAAACGGTAAAAACGGTAAAGCTGCAATAACTATAGTAAAAACGGTAAAACGGTAAAAATGGTAAATGCGGTAAAAACAGTGTAAAAAAAAAAAAAAAGACGGACAAAATTGTAAAAACGGTAAAAACAATAAACACGGTAAAAACGGCAAAAACCATTAAACAAACTGTTCCGGGGAGGTGCCACCGGGCACCGCCGATCAATCAAGTTCCGCATCAACGTGCGGAAGACGAACCCAGCGGCCAAGGAGAGGGCCACGAGCATGCGACTCCTGGAGAACGACTCCTTCATTTGCCTTCAGTGGAGCCTGCAGGAATCCAAGCACGTCAATCCAGCTCAAGATCCTCTTCCCATAGAGGAAGCCCTGCAGGTGCTGGTTCAGATTCAATCTCTGACTAGCCACCCCAAGGTGGTGGGACGCATCCACCCTTTGAGGAAGCTCACGCCGGAAATGACATTCGATGTCATATACCTTGACGCTGAAAATCCAAAACCGCACTCAGGAAGCCCAAGTTGCATGCCAAGCGCTGGGGAGATTGGTGCGGAGCGGCGCAACGCACCCCGTGGGGTCAACGCTCAGACCCTCCAAGCTGGGGAGAAGTCCCATCGCGGCTGCAGTCGACAAGATGATCCAAGACCTTTAAGGCCTGCTAAACCCCAACTACTCGACTCACCCTAGTCATTCCTAATCCCTCCAATTACGGCTATGCGAATTCCCTAGTCATGGCTTTGCTTTGGGCGGCCAGCTGCGCAGGTCAGGGAATGAAGATCCCCAGCACTCCGCTTCGGCTCTTTCTTCATGGGCTGTGCCAACAGCAGAAGCCTCAGCCCTTATTCTGGCAGACAATTGCTTGGTGGTCTATTACCCAGGGTTGGATTCAGCCATCAAGACAGCATGACCCAGCCGATCTTTTGAGATTTCTGCAGCCTCAGCTCTTTGACGGTTTGCGTGCAGCCGTTTCTCTCTGGGGCATGTGCCGGGGCAAACTCTTAAAGTGTGCCATGAACGCAGGCCATCCCCTAAAGTTCTTAAAGCGCTGATTACAGTGAGGGAGCCCCTTCTTTGCATAACTCATGTGCTCATCACGCCGTTCTGCTATAGTGGCATAGGAAGTCTTCGTGAGCGCGACACTGGTTTCGGGGTAGGATTTTCCCTACATGGGTCCTATAAGCGCGTGAAAGCTACTAAGTTGTTGGCCACAAATGTCACAGCCGCAAGCTACTCGCATCACCTGCGTAACCTCCGTGAGCTCGCCGTTCTGTTGGGGAACAGGGTCACACAGAAGGAGAGTGGCACTTAGAAGTAGAGTCCATCTGCTTTACATTACCAGGCTGCAAGCGGGAGAGATGAAACCCGCTACACTGGATCCTGGCTTGCACACTTTTGTGGAGCGAGACCACAGGGTGAGGGATGCCCAGCCTGGCGGCGGGAATTGTTTTGTGAATTGATATCCCCGGGCGGCATCACCTACTTCGTTGAGTGCGTGCAGGAGCCCACAATAAAGGAGGCTTCGGTCGGGGGGGGTAACCTGTGTGGCTGGCGTTTCTATGCTCAAGATGTTTACACGCATGGCTGCATTGATCTGGATCTCGAAAGACAAGCTGCGCCAACCTGTGCGGATTGGAACCAATCGACTGTGGTAACGAAGCACGCAAAGCGCTCAGTGTATATCGAGACGAGATTGAGCATTTCAACGATGCCTGGGACTCGTTGGTTTGCTGTCGGATGGGCGCCAATGACCACCACAATGAATACTGGGCCAGCTTTGAAGTGCAGCCGACAGGCAAATCATTGAATCTGGCCATCTGCTGTTGCAGAGACAGCTCCAGCGCACTTGCAGGCAGGCAACGGCAACTGCTTTACTCAAGGGCGCCACGCATGCCCTGGTCGAGCAAGGAAACTATGCAGGCATTATCTACAGACTTTTGCGATCCGAAGGAAGATCCATGTATTTGCAGCACGCGAAGCTCGGAGTTCTGATTGCCGATCTCCTGCAGACTCATGATGGAGATTCCAATGAGTGAGAGCTGCCCCGGTCCTGAGCCGGGGGCGGGAGACAAGTATCTTCGATTGCACTTAGACACGTGCGCTCAGGTGTTCTGACTCCAGTTGTTTCACAATCTCCCGTAGATGTGAGGGTTCGGGGTTACGAAGGCCAAACGGCGGCGTGGAGCCAATCACGCCACGACAGCCGCCTGTCACAAACATTGCCTGCGGGGGGAAAGGGGGGTTTTCGACACTGGTCCTGCTGGAGATGCGTCGTGGGAGAGGGAGAGGGGGGGAAGTGGGTGGTTGTTTCGACAGGCTTTCAACCGCAGAGTGTTTCATCGGATGAAGAAAATGGCCTGCGTTGATGGATTTCCAGCTAAATGATTTTCGCTCTATAAACTGTGGCCAGATGCTAGACACTGAGTAAGCGATTGCGTGGAGTTTCGAAAATCAACAATTGCTGCCGCTGCGCGACCAGAAGTTCAAAAAAATCATCGGATGAAGAGAATGGCCTGCATCGACGGTATTCCAGCCAAATACTTTTCGGCTGTATAACCTGTGGCCAAACGCTAGACATTGAGTGAGCGATTGTGCTCAGTCTCGAAAAGCAACACTTGCTGCCTCGGCGCGACCAGAAATTCAAAAAAATCATCGGATGAAGAAAATGGCCTCCGTTGACAGATTTCCAGCTAAATGCTTTTGTGCTCTATAAATTGTGGCCAAGTGCTAGACATTGAATGAGGGATTGTGTTGGATTTCGAAAAACAACACTTGCTGCCTCGGCGCAACCAGAAGCTCAAAAAAAATCATCGGATGAAGGAAAATACCTGAGTTGACGGATTTCCAGCTAAATGATTTTCTGCTCTATAAACTGTGGCCAACTTCTAGACATTGAGTAAGTGATTGCGCGGAATCTCGAAAATCAACACTTGCTGCCTGCACGCGACCAAAAGTTCGCAAATTGAAGACAAGCCCAAGCTGGACGTTACATACTGCCTTGCAGCGCAAGTCTTGGCAAACAAGTGAGCACCGCAACATTTTTTACGGCTGCGCGCCGTTCTTAGCCAAAGTCAGTGCAATCCTGGCGGCGCACGGGTACGCTCTTCCAGAAGGGGTGGCCGCGGGGAAGTGTGCGTGGAGCATGCGGTCGAAGCAGCCAGTGAGCATAGCATCCTGTGCATTTGGAATATTGCTTGAAGTTTGGGTCTGGCTGATCTATGTGGCCTTGGAAATGCAAAACGCACCCCCCAAGCGCTGGTTCCAAGCTTCAGTCTCCAGCCGATTGACGGAATCTCCATAAACATACACGATAGGGTTGTTGCTTGTCAAGATACACATGACGTTCTGCTCGCCTGATTTATTCCACTCATAATCTGTAGCACCATCAGTTTTTGGCACAGCGATCTGGAAGACTCGTTGTCTAGTAAGTTGAGCAGGTCTGCTCACGCCAGTGGTGGATGGGGCCACCTAAAGTCATTCCATACCACTGCCTTCTTAGAGATGAGGGACTGCAAGGCGAATGACGTGTGCACCTGGGGCTTCATGACAAAGTCCCCGAACAGGGCCTGGATGGGTCACATGTGGCACGGGTGCTTTTTGACCCAATAGAGGCCGTAGAACATTCACCGACCACAGGCTATTAACAGCCTATAACGAAGGACCGCAAAATGTTGAAAATACGCCAAGGAACTATGATAGGACGTGTGAGCGCTGTCTTGCCACTGCTTGGGGGCACCGAAGTAATGATGATTGAGACCTTTACCGCCACCCTGTTGGAAAAGTCGGATGGCTGAATCCTTATAGGAAGCAATGTCAAAGCCGTTCAATCGCAAGATATACTCCCAGCCCTCAATAGCTTTCCCACTGCAGACACACGCATGCTCTAAGCCACGTGTGCAAAAATCCATGTGAGTCGACTGTGCGTCGAGAATTCGCTACGGAGCTGAGACAACGGCCCAAACAGCAGAGATCTTCTCCTGCAATTTCTTGGGCGGACACTGGTAAGACAGAGACAACCAGCGCGCATCACCAGTGCTTTGCTGCTGCTGAGCAAATGTATAGAGAGCGTCTACCGTTTTGATGCCTTGTGTTCGAATCACATCACCGAACTGCAGAGGTGAGATGCGCATCGTCGGCTTGCGTGCCTTGGTAAGGCAAGGAAGGATGTCCGGGTGGCCTGGCGACAACCAGAACTGCGAATCCAGGTCCTGCATAGGCTTCTTCGTCGAAGGGACAATACGCAAAGGCAGACCAGTACGATCCACGGCCCTGGGTGCTGCTGCATTCATGTTCGCATTCAAGCAAATGTCTGGCTATTTGCCGCCAGCGATAGATTTCTGTTGCTTGCACGACGGCGTGGAAATGCCATTCTCTCTCCAAAGCTGACGGACTGTTTTGGTGACGCTCACGAAACACGGCCATGTGCTGAATGACGCAACCCACAGCCTCGTACGCTGCCTGAACTTTGCCAGCAACATCTTCACGTGTTACCTCTGATGAAACACCTGACCATATCCAAAAGTAAACCAACCTTTAGTCATCTGGCCCTGCAGGCTTGGCATCATTATCTGTACGGTTCATAAGGGGCGTCTCATCCTCAAGACGGTGGCCTTCGTCACTGGGAGAAGCTGGAGAGGGACTACTGCTGGTAGAGCTGGAAGAGCTGGACGAAGAAGACGAAGACATCCTTACAGAGGCTAGGTTTGCAAGACTTGTGGCAGTTAGAACGCGTATGCGCCTGTTTGTGGGGCTTCGCTGCGCAA